AAGGAAGACATAAAACCATGAAAGTTTGTGTAAATTCCAGGATGTAGCAACCTGATGTGGTATAGGTACACTGCTGTGAACATACACAGTGAACATATGGAAGAAATAACAGTAAAAAATAGAAGTCAGGGACAGATATTAAAAAATCTTCTAAGCAGGGGCTGGGAAGGTGGCTCAGTGGTAGAGTGCTTGCCTTGCATGCATAAGGCCCTGAGTTCGATTCCTCAGCACCACATAAGCAAAAAGAAAAAAGCCAGAAGTGGCACTGTGGCTCAAGCGGTAGAACGCTAGCCTTGAGCTGAAGAGCTGAGGGACAGCGCCCAGGCCCAGAGTTCAGGCCCCACGACCGGACGCACCCCCTCCCCAAAAAAAAAATCTTCTAAGCATTCTTGTTTCCTACAGAAAATCTAGGAGGAAGTAAGTTCTGGTTTTTTAATCTGATTACTAAAGAATCTGTACTTAAGAATATAAACAGTAGGCTACAAAGGTAAAAAGCAACAGAGTACCAAAAAAATGAGTCTGCTGCAATACTGTGGAAAACTGGTTATGACCTGCAGTGGAAACAGAAGAAATCAGAAAGAAGAAATCAACCAGGAAAAATGAAGACAACTTAGGAGCTTATCAAGATTTCTAAGAGAAGATAAGGAGAGTCATACATAAGGCTGGTACTTTCAAATACCTACAAGTTTTGGGAATAGTATAAACCTGCTAGTTCCACAAAATGCTCCTGAACTCAGGTTTCCAACATAAGCTAACCTCTCTTTCCAACTGACTCACTGTCATCTAATACTTTTCTAAGCATATCAGCTTCACTTCCATTAAGTTGCTTGTGATATGTCACCTTTTAACTTCTCATAAAAGGCCCTTAGTGGAAAGGTGATCACACAAGACAAGAGCCTATTTGGACAGCAGGGTTTGGTTCACTCTGCAGCTGTGTGTCTAATTGTGACTCCATAATACACTGCTTAGAAAAGTGTCCTTTAAAAAGACCCATATACTTTGACATCTGACAAATGCAAATTTGAGATAAGCTTCCAAAATAATTTTGAAATCTGTGCTATTTCCTTTCCTATCTATGAGCATCTAATATTGAATGAGGGACAAGTCTTCCCCAAACATTATGTAGTTCCTTGAAATTATGGGGTTGAAAGCATGAGTAATATGAGATCGATAATGCTAAAGTAAATGATAAATAACAATACTTGAAATACTTTCCTGTGGTTTCAGAAGTGTTACTTTCCAAGAGCAATATTATAAGAATGGTATATATAGGATGCTGAGTTAAATGTGAATTTCAAAGTAACAACCAACATGTCCCACGTGATACCTAAAACGACTTATTCATAGACTACAAAACCTATTTATTCTTGACTAGAATTTCAAGTTTAACCATGTATTCTGTATATTTATTTGCTAAGTTTGAATATCCTATGAACTTTATCTGAAGTCCAGATAAATAAACTGAGTTGTCTCATGCCTATAAAGCAAGAGGAAATAGAATCATTGGAAACGAATAAAGTATCTAGAGATTCTCTGTGGTACATGAAAGAACATAGATTTTTAGAATCAAATAAATGTGAAATTCAGTTCATCAGTCTCTGAGAATTCATCATTGACTCGCTTTCCACAAATTACTGTATCCTTAGCTCCAGAGTTTTACTGTTCAAGGTGAAAGGGAAAGCAGGGGAGAGAAGGGAGGAGTAGGCAGTATAATAGATGGGGTAAACATGATCAAAGTACATGCATGTAGGGAAATGTCATGGTGAAACCAAATTACTATGTACAATTTAATATGAGCCAGTAAAAACAAATTTGCTTTAAGTCATCACCGGCTACTCCCTTGGTGTGGGACTGGAAAAGTCATTTCTTCTACTCACCATTTCCCAAAATGGTTATCAAAGCCAAACAACCTGCTTTATCTGCATAGAGCACTCACCGCACTGTGAGTATTCACACAAAACTGTCCCAGTGACCTTCATATAGACTTGTTTCTCTGGCTTTCATCTCTATAGACATTCACCAACCACAGCTAACATAACTACTTTCAAATTCTGACTGAATCCAACAATATTTGAACAGATATGTTTAAAAATATTATCACACTGTGATTTCCTCATGTTCCCACTCTTTTTTTGTGAAATCTTTTAGAACAAGGATTCATAAATTCATTGCAAATTAGCTTTTAATCATAGATGCACAGAGCTATTTTCTCATCTTGTAAGATGCTGAAAAATCTCAATTATCATTGAGTCAAAAAATAAATAAAATCTTCAAAAACAAAACTACAAATGTACAAAAGAAAATTATTTTCCAGTCTGACGTAGGGGAACAACTCTTCCTACTATTTTAGAGTCATACACATGGGGGATTATTTTCTAATGTTCATTTTACAAATTGCTTAACTAACAATATGGTGTTCAACTTTCTACTCAGTATACCTTATCTTTCCGTGACACACTGTGATTTCTTTGAAGGAAAATTAACTAAATATTTCAGCAGTTTAGCTAGTGGGAAGCAAAGAATTAAGATCATAGATACAAAGGTCCTATAATTGTATTTTAATCAGCTTATTAAATACAACAGGAACATGTATCAATTAACTAACATTTAATTTTATGATCTCTGAATCAAAACTTTCCAAAAGCATAGCAATAAAAGTTATCAACATTTACCTAACAATTTCTGTACAATTTTTGTTTTAACTCATGAAAACCACTGAAATATTGTATGACAATTGTGACATGTCCTCATAGACTGGAAAATGGAATTAGGTCTTTTATTAAGAGACAAACCTATTCTGAAATTTGCCTTTTCTGCAGAACACAACCATCAACACCAAAAGAAAAAATGCTTACAGAAAAGCACAGTAAAAAATTCTTTGTGAGATGACTAAATACAGAAATCTTAGAATTTTATTTCAAATATTTCTCTCCTCAACAGACATAAATCCACTGATGAAACAAACTACTACTGAACTAAAGAGTGTTACAAATTGTATATGCAGAAAAACCAAACATCTCTGCAGATTTCATCTAGAAAGTAAATTGTCTAATTGCAGATTCATTTGGGAGTATTCGATGAAGATTTCCCATTATAGTCACATTTTAACTTGTAATATAAGTGTACATACTTTTCTTTTTTTTCTTCTGTTAACAGGACAATTTTTCATGATCGAAATGATTCATTTTTTTCACAGAGTAATTTATCAATATTCTACTTTCACTAAGAAACAGTGAAGACTAACTAGAAATATAAGCAAGTTGTTTTCGCTAGCATTTTGCTTCATAACAAAAACTGCTTTAGTTTTAAAAAAGGTCTGATTCTGGCCATTATTTTTAACTCAAGTGGAAAAGGGCCTGAGGGTTAGGGTCATTAACATCTTTTACTAAGACAAAAAGATGCAACTGTGGTTGCTAGGATACCAACAGACAGATTCATTTATTGCAGTCAGAAAGAGTTATTAAGGATGCCTTGACACAAACAACATACTAACTGTAAAAAGAACCATAATGTAAATGACCAGAAATCTAAAAAGTAACAGCAATCAATTCCTGCCTTCAAAGAGCTTAATAGTTTAATATTATGTATTGTAAGTACAATGTACTTTGAAAATAAAGTGGAACTTGTTTTTGTTTTAAGAAATAGAAATAGGTAGATAAAATAGGTAGACATCAGAAAGAAAGGAAATGTGTCAAGTACAATGAATGATTCAAGTTTGTAATCCCAGCTGCCTGAGAGGAAGAAATTGGAAGGACCATGGTTTGAGGGTAGCCCAGGAAAAAGGTTAGTGAAACAACATCTCACTAACCTAGCCAGCTAAGCTTGTACCAGTAATCCCAGTTCTTCACTAGGGATAGGTAGGACTCAAGTCTCATTCCAGTCTAGGCAAAAATAGAAGATCCTTTCTGAAAAATAAACTAAAGCATACTTGCATAGCAAGTATGAGCCTGAGTCCAAGCTCCAGTACTTCCAATTAAAAAAAAAAAATCATGAAGTTAACTAAAACTCAAGTATTAAGAGTTAAAGATGTGAGTTATATAATAATAGAAATAGAAATAATCTAATAAACTAGTGGGGAAAATGTAAATAGAAGATAAACACACATTTGGTGTCAAGAAGAAAATCTCCACAGTACCATAAATCATAGTTCTCTGAAAGCAATGATAAATTTGAGACATTGACAAAGTAGCCAATAGAAGCATGATAAAGTCATTCAAGAAAAGTCTTGGGAACTACTTCCCCACCTCCTCCCCCAAACTTAAACTCACAGGCCTTCACATTGAGTGGTACACAGTTACTAAACAGGTACACACCTAATTATATGCTCATTTTCATGATAGCCATTTCTCCTTACCATGAAAGAAAAGATTTTTCTGGCATTACTAAATAAAGCCACTAAAGGAAATAATACTTATGTTAACAGTAGCATCTACTCTTATGCTAGGCATAGTTCCTTCCCAATTAGCCCTGTGATGAAGATACTGCTACCCTGATTCTATCAAAGACAAAACTTGGTCTCATAGAGACATAGTAATGAGTCTAAATTCACCTCACACTGCAGACAAGTAGGATCCATATTCATATTGGTGCTTGCCTGATCAGCATCAACAAACACCAAGTTTCTTCCACCACCTCCTAGATGTTTCTCCTTGGAAAGATTCAAATGTCCAGGAACTATCAGAAATATTAAATGCTTGTCACTGCTTCATACTACATAAATACTACCTTCACATGGCACACAAATTGGTAAAATGAGAACACCAAAACAGAATTACATAAAAAGAACAAATCAGTAATAGAAGTTAGAAAATAATGTCTCATGGCAAGTGAGGTAGGCTGTCTCCGATGCCAATTATAGGACTCTGGCCCTACAGAAGCTGATGACATCTATGGCTGAGGGAGTGGCTCATCGGTATGGCACTCGCCTAGAAAACACCAAGCCCTGAGTTCAAACCCCAGTAAGCTGATGACCTCAAACTTTCATGAAGTACAGAATTTACCTGGGTCATTATGAGAATGAGGCACCACAAAGACTTGAAGGGGCTCAGTGTCCCATTCATCAGCTTCATACTTAATGTCAAATCCTTGCTTCCACACGCCCCCATCTGGATTATCAAAGGGAATTAGGCTGTAAACATCCATCATCTAAAAATATGAAAGAAAAAAATTTGAATTTAAATGTATGTATATATATATAAAACTTTTTCATATAAACATCAATTAAAAATATTAAGGCTCAAAATAGTTCATCATCAAATGCTTGAAATGCTGGTTGTGCTAGCAAAATAGGTTTCTAAAACTTCCTCCCCATTTGGTTCTTAAATACGATGTTGCTTAATTCCTTCTTTCCCTGCTTTATGTCCAATACACTTCATAGAATTCTGTAGGAATAGAAAAGATGTTTATGAAATTTGATTTTCATCAAGTATAATTTTCCAATACGGTACTAAAACTGTGTTTTTATTGTGAAAATACTGTACAGAGGGGTTACAATTACATGGGCAAGATAATGAAAAACTGTGTTTTTATTATATGTGAGTTGTCTCCATTTTACAATCAATCTAATTTATACATTCAAAACTAATACCTGAATGAAAATGAATCTGTACTTACTGTTCTACCTCATATATATAGACCCTTTTTCATCCTATTTACTCCTTTTTTATTTTATAAGAACAATTATAACAAGGTCAACCAGCTATAATCATTTGAAAAGGCAAGACATTTTTGAAACTGAGATTTAACGTTTTTATTAATATATATTTTTATTTTACTGTACAGAGGGGTTACAGTTACATGAGTAAGGTAATGAGTACACTTACTATTGAACATTGTTACCCCCTCCTTTGTTTTTCCCCTACCATCCCCTCTCCCACCTGCCCAACTCCTCCCCCTACCCTGGCCCAGAAAGTTGTAAACTTCATTTTCAACATAGTGTCTTAAGACGTACATCTCATTGTTAGAATGGGTCAACCTGTATCCTTGTTTCAGCATTTTGTTATTTCCCTTCCCCTCACCAAATTAGAAAAATGTATACAAGATGCAGGGAACCAGAATCAAATACAGTGAAAACAGGGGTTATACCATGGGAAAGCACATACAAAAGAACCCAAAAAAAAAATCACACAGTCATTAAAAACAACAGCGACAAAGAAAAAAGCCTCTTGTGTCCCTATCTTGTGGTTCATTTCGCTTAACATCATCTTATCTGGTCATATGTACATACCTTTTGACCTTTTCTGCTTGTCTGGTAAGATTATCCTAGACATATACTAGTTATTGCAAATAAGGGAAACTATAGGACCTATATTTCTTTGAGTCTGGCTGAAAGAGAGACTTCTCTGAAAAGGAAATGAGATTTAACTTTTAAGTATCCAAATGTCTCCCAAAACTGAGTGTGGTGGTGAGTACCTTTGGTTTCAGCATATAGGAGCTGGAAACCAGTCAGGGCAAGATAGAAAGATCTTGTTTCAAAAAAAAAAAAAAATGTTTTCCAGCTTTCCAATGCAGTATTCCTTGTAGATAATAATCTACTTGCACACAAAGAAATTACTCCCTCAAAACATAAAACTTATTCTTCATATTCTCTGATGCCAAATATGAAAAAGAAAAAAACTACTGTTTATAGTATTTCCATTATCCAAATTAATTAGGCTATAACCATTACAGAAAAAAATACATATGTAAGAGATCACACTTATCACTAGACAATAACATATCACTGGCTAAGGAATGATGCCTTTAAGAACTATCTGGGCAGGGCTGGGAAGGTGGCTCAGTGGTAGAGCACTTGCCTTGCATGCCTGAAGCCCTGGGTTCCATTCCTCAGCACCACATAAGCAAAAAGAAAAAAGCCGGAAGTGGCGCTGTGGCTCAAGTGGTAGAGCGCTAGCCTTGAGCTGAAGAGCTGAGGGACAGTACCCAGGCCCAGAGTACAGGCCCCATCACTGGACCCCCCCAAAAAAGAACTATCTGGGCAGGAGGAGGCATTAGCATGCAGACTCTATATTCCTCCAGATTCTTACTTGGGCTCTGTGGCTATCCCAGAGCCCTCATGCCTGGCTCCACTGCAGGCATGGTGACTTTGTAAATCCTGTCTATCCAACCCACATTCAAACAAATACCTAAAGGTTGGCTATTCACTTAGGATGGTTGACAAGGGTAGGTACTTAATATAGTCAGTAAAAACACAAATGAGGCCAAGCTTCACAGAAGCCATAATCCCTGCAAAGCTCAGCCTCTGATATGCTCTGAATCCAGCAACCCATCAGCTGATGATGTTGTAGGTGCAAAACCTGGTCCTAGGTTCTGGGTTGACCTGGGAGTCCTGGCCTAAAAACCAGGTTCTAGATCCCCAGGAGTTAAAAGTACCTTCTCTAAAGCCAAGCTTAAGGTCAACTAATTCTGTTCAATTTTAAAATATTCACACTGTAAGATCATCCAGAGAGTTCCAGTTTCTGGTCCAAGGCACAGGGTTAAACATAGTCCTCTGCTTATTTGCAGAGCAGGGGTGGATATGAGTTTAAGAAAGACCAAGTCTTTTCTGGCCCTGGCTTCCAACTTCATTACCTTCTAGAAGGTCCAGGTAAAATGTTATACAAACCAAATATGTTAATTTTCTAGTAAGATGAAACAGATGAGATTGATTTTAATGTTGTATTTTATTTAACCTATCCTATTATTAACTCAATATGTAATCAAGGCACAAGTGAGCTGAGATACTTTCCATACTAAGCCTAAATCAGTCTGTTTTTTGTGTTATACTTTTAGAGTACATCTCAAATCAAATTTGCCACATATATTGCAGGTGCCTGGAAGCCACGTGCAGATGGTGGCTTCCATACTGGAGATCACTTCTCCAGAATAGTTCTCTCCCCATACAATGTATCCTGCAAAAACACCTAACTCTACATTGTAAGGTAAAATACAGTAAAAGCAGGACTTTTCTTCTATAGAAAAAAAGGACAAAAGGAAGAAATGAGGGGGGGAGGAGAAAGGAAGGAAAGAAGGGAGAGAGAGAGAGAAGAATTGGTAAAAAAAATCTCTGGCAAACTTAAACTTGCAAAGATTGTCAACCATTATAGAAATTAAGAACAAAATGGCACAAAAAATGATTGCATTCACAAGAAAACTGAAACACCAAAGTATGGAATTTTATCACATCAACAAAAATGAAAAATAATGATGTGACTAAATTACTTCACAGAAAGAGCAAATGGAATCTAGAATTTAAACAACTTATCACCAACAGAAACCTGATCAAATCTGAAAATAAAATAATAAAAACACCCCGTGATTATTAATGTCCACAGTACCTGTACATCAGGGTGATGACTTCCTTTTTGCGAAGCAAAGAGACAATCATTAGGGTCGACCTTAAAAAATAACTGTGATGAGGTGAGACGTGAACCAGCACCATGGCTGAAATTGCCTTGTGAACTTTTGGGACCATCCTCCACAGATTCACTCAAATTGATGACTGAATCTCTAATATTTGAAATGATCTCATTATTCTCAGCTAGCAAACGTTCCAAATGGTCTATTTTTTCTTGCAACATCGAAAGCTGGCCCTGTAATAAAAAGAAAAAGGCAGCTATGAAACACTACTATAGCTTTGCTAAGACATACTGTGTTTTTTTTCCCCCTTAATTATGTGGCTGCACGAGAGGGCAGCCATTCACCCTTCCCTTTTCACTTTTATAAGTGGATCACAGAAAACATGAACAGCTGGCAAGATGGAAATACCAATTTATAGCACAAAATCTTCTCCATAGCTCCAATTTTTGTTTGATGATATTTCAAAATGTGAAAGAGAACACCCAAAATCCTTGGGTGCGTATTTCCTACTCACTTTTCTGTCCCATTAAGTTCTAACACACCACTGGGTCCCTGGAATCATTAACTATAACAAATAGCCTGTTACATTTTAGGTATGGAATTTTTAATTCATTTTAGATATGGAATTTTTAATTCAAGTCTACCTGATTTAACTTAATTCACAAGGGACAAAAATATGGACCTGACAAGATCATTCCATCTCAACCTGTTAACAGTAATGGAGAAACCTAAATAAGAAATATCATCTAGAGAAAAAACAATTCATCAACTCTTAAATAATCATAAACATAAACATCTCCCAAGCAGCCATTCCATAAGCCATTCATATTTTTTATTAGACTTTGTGACTTTCAGAGTTCCATAGTTGATTCTCACATTAAGAGGTCTGCCATACATATGAGATAAGCCTCATTTGCTATGCAGACTAACACCTCACTTATGAGAGCAAGGACAACCTTGGATTTGCCCAACATACTATCTTTCTCTCTCTGAATATATATATATATATATATATGAATATATATACATGTATAAATGTGTATGTATACAAAAATTTTTATATATACATGTATATATATACATACACGTATATATACATATATATGTTCCAAGTATACAAAAGATTTTTAGTCACCAAAAAGAAATATAATATCATTTAAAAATAGAATACAAGGAAAGTTATTTGGAGAGAAACATTTTAAAAACCATTATGAAAACAATGTATGGAGTTGGGTGCCAGTGGCTCACACCTGTAATCCTAGCTACCCAGGAGGCTGAGATCTGATGATCATGGTTCAAAACCAGCCCAGGCAGGAAAGTCCATGAGACTCTTATCTCCAATAAACCACAAGAAAACCAGAATTGGCACTGTAGCTCAAGTGGTAGAGCGCTAGTCTTGAGCTGAAGAGCTCAGGGACAGTGCACAGACCCTGAGTTCAAGCCCCACAACCAATCAAAAAAAAATGTATGGGATAGGATACACTTTTGAAAAACATAGATAAGAAAAATATTTTTTAAAAAAAAACTAGTTTTGGATACTTATATTCTTTTTTAGCCTGTTACAAATATTTTCTGTTTTTCTAGTGAGGAGGGAATGGTAGATACAAGAATTATATTCACAAGTTATGTGGTCAGTTGAGTAAGAAGGGGATAAGTCAATAGACTAAGAACTACCATGACAATGATAGTCATTCAAGTGAATCATGCCAGAATGGACAGAAGTCTGAACAGACTAAAGAAATTTTGGAATAAGGGGGAAAAAAAAAACCTAGCCAAAAGTAGCAACTAATATCTTAAGGGTGGGGAGGAGGAGGCTGAGTTAAGTATCAAAATCCTTGCCGCTATAAGCAAAGAGCACAAGACTGCAACATGCCCCCACAGACCTGAAAGATATTTTCACAGGTTTCTGTACTTGGGTAGTGATAGAAATAGCTCCTACACTTTCAAATAGTAGTCTGTGTAGGCAGCTGTGCATCTAGGGTGAAGTGGTATGTCATACAGTAGAACGCTGAAGCCTGTTCACTGGCACACATAAAGGAAAAGCAAGGTTTCAGAATAAGACCTCTTTCTATATGACAAGCTCCACAGGTAAGAAAGGAAGAGAATATGCTTTGATTTACATCTGGAGACAGCACAGCAAAAGAAACCTGAGAAATTCACACAGCCCAGGATTATTTCTGGAGACATTAAAGAGGGCTTCTTAATCTCACTGTAGCTGAATGACATAGATTCCGAATAAGTAAAACAATTAAGTCATATCATATCTATTCACATCAGTGAAGCACTCATCAATGTTGATTTTCCATGGAAAGACTAAAGATGACCCTCTATCATAATCCAAAGAAGAAAATATTTAAGAGCCAGGCATGCAAATCACTAATCTATACATATAGCCTTTCTAAACTTAAGACATGTTCTCAAAGTTTGTCTGAAATAACAGAAAGCCAACACCACTTCCAGTTTTCTGGTGGTTAGAGATAATACTCTCACAGACTTTCCTGCCAGGCTGGCTTTGAACTGTAATTCTCAGACCTCAGCCTCCTGAATAGCTAGGATTACAGGCCTGAGCCACCAGAGCCCAGCATGAATCACTTCTGATAGATTCTACTAAGTGTTTCCAATACTGAAAATAAAAATCCACTCCATTGTTGAAATTTCTAATGCCCTAGTAAGAGACAATCAAGTTCTTATTCAAAGCAGAATTAGAACTTGTTGATCTGCTTTGGCTTTAGTAAACCTACCCATCATTACAAAATAAAACTTTACCTCAGTCTAATGCACTGACACACCATCTGCATACATTTCTCTAAATGTTTTATAATTAAAAAAAGAAAAATACAATTTTAGATGCAGGTTACCTACGGTAACACTACCTTTGAAGTCGGTCCCTCCAAGGAATATTTTTCCCTACGGTATTGGGTCTATAACCTATGACTTACTCAAAAATAAACATTTCTGGAGATATTTCTTGAAAAGGAAGCCTGCAGACATTAAAGAGGGCTTTAAATCTCATTGTCGCACTAAAGATACAATTAGTGATTAGTACTTAGAATTCTAGGTGCATGAAGAAAAGAGTGGCCCAGGGACATGTCAGCATAATAGCCTGATGAAAATCACTTTCACACTATCTTATGCGGTGGGAAAAAGTCTCCTTACAAAAAGCCCAAATTCTTGATTTACACCTCATAAGCAAACTCCGTACAAGTGACAGGGAAGAGTGGCATGACCTTAAGAGGGTGCTCTCTCCGTTTGCATAAAAGAAACAGAAATCACAGATAATGTTTCAATTATGCTGACAAGTCAACGAATACTGATAGTAATATTGAAAAAGCCAATTTTCTGTAGGGCAAGAAAATCACTTGTGAGGAAACCACTTTATCCTTTGATTTGCTAATCAGTTCTATTGGAAAGCCGCGCACTGCTCTGTAAGGAGTGGGGAAGGTCATATTTGATTTTTCTCTCCTGTTGCTGAAAGAGAAAAACTGAGCAAAGAAGAAAAGAAAATCACAAATATCAAAGACATTGAAGAGAGCAAATTTAGAGTCTACTACAAGGTAGAATATGATGAGTACCCACTCTGTCCTGTGAACAAAATCAATGACTATGTATCTACAACCAAATCTACATATATTATATAATGATTTCCCCCAGGGGGAACCAAGGTCCAGCGTCACAGTGGTTACTTGATCACAGCAAAATCTACAAGTTCTTCTTTCTCATTACAAGTGAAAAAGAAACGTGTTTTCTTCTCTCACCAGATCAAAGGCCAAGCCTCTCCTGACATCCAAGCAAATCTCTCTGGACTGCTCAAGGCTTTGATCTTGTGGTTACACTATCTCCATACTGCTCCATGAAATTTCCCTACTACAGTAGCAGTACTCAGTAGGACTCAGTAGTAAATTTAGTAGTATAGCATATCCTACGTAACTATCTGAAGTTGCTCTTCTCATAGGGGAAAAAGTCACTATATAAACATTTCTGTGTACAGGAGTAAATACACATAATTATTTTTGTTTGAAAATGCTAAAAACAGAGGAGTTACCATTATGTAAGTCAGGCAAAGAGTACATTCCCTTTTGGACAGTATCACTCCTTATACAGTCTATCTGAATTGTTTAAAGTCAGTTCTGTTCCTCTGCTTTGATTTGGGAGTCAACTTAAGTGCATTCAGGGATCTAGGCAGTCACTAAACATTAATAGCTCTCGATGCTTACATAGACATTGAAGCGCCTCACCTTTTCTATTGAGAGGGAAGCCCAGGCAGGTGGGTCTGGCATTGACTAGAATAGACTAGGTGCCCCAGTATGTGAGGATTTCTAGGGGGGATAGGTGAGTCAGTGGACTGAGTTGAGGAGACCTGCCCTCCTGGTCATTCAGGGACCTGGATGGAATAAAATGCTAACAAAGGGCAAATTCCTACTCTCTTCCAAACCAGTACCTATGTCTGGATACAAGAACTGCAGGTGCTCCAGCGTTTGGGTTCTAAGACTCACACCAACAGAACCCTGGCTCTGAGAATTTGAGCCTCATCTTGGTTCAGAGCCTGCAGACCTGGACTGAGCAATAGGACCTGTTTCTCTAGTTCTCCAAGTTTGTAGTTTGCATTTTTGTGGAGCCTTTTGGCCTCTTAAAAACCAAGTAAGCCACCTCTCCAGTAATTCTATTCCCACTCTTCCTATTTCTTCTTATCCTCTTACCCTTTGTCGCTCAGTTCTATCAATCTGCAGAACCCTGATTAAAACTCCCAGATTTTCCCAAGGGCCCCACATCCTTGGTGGATACGTGGGGATCATCCAGAGTCTCTATTCATCACCTCTCCTTCCTTATAAATGTCCACTCACTCACCTGCCCTTTCCAGTCAGGTCCTGCCCACACTCCATAAAAACTGTCCTTGTGAAATTCCCACAGCCTCCACATTCCAAGCTTGATGCTAAGTTCTGGGCCTGAGGATGGGTGGCAGAGTAGGGCACTCCTTCACCAGAAGCACTACCTTCACGGATTCCCAACTGAACGTGTCCTGTTTATCAGTCTCTTTTGATGACTCCTCTACCAACCCCAAAAGGTTACAGAGCCTCAAGTTAGCTATCTCCTTAGCCCTGTTACCTCTCCACACAGTCTAACGTGATATCATCCATTCTATAATTCAAATTCCTGGTTACACTTATGTCTCCCACATTTATATCTCCTGCTGAAATCTGGTCTCTGAAAAACAAAGCCATATATTCAAATGTCT